AAATGTTCTTGCTGTGCTTGGAGGAAGGTGGTGCAGGGCTGAGAGTCTAAAGATCTGCTCACCCCTCTGTCTGTAAGCATTGCTGAGTGTCCCCAAGGCCATAACCATGCAGATGGCCAGGGATGTACCTAATCAAAACAAACTCAGGTTGTCTGTTCCTAAAATCTAGTGTACTCTACTTTCTGCACAGCAAGCCTCAGAAATATCAAAACTAGACCTGAGAAGAGTATAAAAAGCTCCATGCTAACATAATGTGCAAATGGACTGTCACTTATGGAGATCTTGGACAACAACAACATTGGAAGGCAACAGCAAGCAGCAAAAATTGCAGCTGAAGAATATCAACTTAATCCTCTTGTAAAGCATATTGTGAAAATGAACATTTTTAAAGCTGAAGAGATGTGAGCCCAGATGCTACTGCCGTATGTCTTACGCAGTTCATGATTATGAACAAACAGCAGAATACATATAAGGTAATTGAAAATGATATGGATACAAGCCCAGCTGGTGTCCCCATATGCCTTATAAGCTCCATTTTTAGGAACACAGCAGCACAGCATTAGAAATGCTTCTTAAACATCTCATTTATAAATAGATTGGAACTGTTTCACTGAAGTACAAACAGAAAAGGTCCACAAGGATCCTAAAACCAGCTGCATTCAAAACCATTGAAATGGTTCAACCATAGTGTTTTTATTAGGAACCACTCTGCACCAGAGTATTCCCTGAATGAGAATACTCACAGGCATTTTTTTAAAAGCAACCACCAAAAAGCCATTTTAGTGAGAAAATACCAACTTACTTTTGTTTTCACAAACTGTTCCTACTGAAGCTTTTCCAGGTCCAGAATGGAAGAGCCAAGGCCCAAACTCCAGGCTGTGGAGAGGTACAGATGTGGAAGAGGTAAATTCTTGCCTCTTCTAAAAATCCAAGTAGGGTCTGGAGCTTCACATGTTCATGTCCCGTGGAGAGTTCCTCACCAACAGGCTGTCAGCTCTTCTGTGATACTCTTCCTCTCCTGCTTTTCAATTTCACCAGCACCACCTCTAAAGGGAGGTAATTAACTGTAGGGATTCCTGGTTAATTGTGAAAATATACCACCAAATACAGTTCACTTTAAAGCATAATTTCATTATATGTAGGCTAGCAACCAAAATATATCTAAAGCAGTTATCTAAAAAAATCCACTACAAATGAATGAAAAATTATTTTATTTAAAAATACATTATACAGCAGAGTGTCTCTCTTTTTGTTTTCTCACTGCTGGTTCACAGAAATAATGATAAATTTAACCCAAATATTTGACTGGGAAAGATCCTGAGAGAGAGAGAGAGAGAGACCAGTCACAAGCTGATGATATACAGTACACTGAAAAAGTAATCTCTTTTAACGTAAAAGAATCTCTTGGTAATCTTATAAATCAGATAGAAAAAATGCAGGTTTGCTACCATGCAGAAACAAGTGAAGATTTAGTTTAAATCTGCACACAGAGAAATCATTAGTACCTTGGACCCTAATTAGCTAGACCAAGAGGAGGGTAAGTGTGCCTGACACGGTGATACAAACTTTGGACTTGATAGTCTAATAAAGGTGGATTTTCAATCATCTAAGTAACATTGTTACTAAGGGTTAAGGGCTCTATTCCAGGACTCTTCTCCACACTGATGTATTTCTTTATTCCTTAATCGTCAGTTTAGCCCAACTTTGTGAGATACACTCTATTGCACCCAAAACTGACTTGGCCTTGCCCTGTTTACCAAGCACTATTTAGGTAGTTGTATTTTAGCAGAAGCAAAGGTTAAAATAAAAAGTAAAAAGCCAGTGCTACCTGGATGACTATGTAGGAACACATCAAAATCCATCATAGAAAATATAAACCCGATTCTACAGCCTTATGTTTCAAACATCTTCTAACAATGACTAATGCACAGGAAATACTCTGAATTATGGAAAATTTAAGGCCTAGAAGGCTCAAAAGCCTGCACTGAACATAGCTATTCGCCATGTGTCTACATGCTACCACTGAATCAGTCATTGCTAGAGGAAAACTTTGTCAGATGTTAAGATCAACTTCAGCATCTATAATATTCATATCCATTTGGCGCTCAACTTTTATAGGACAACTTCACTATCAATAGTCAGCAAAGCTGTGTTTTGAAGGGGAGGCTCAATTTGATTATTCACAGCGATAACAGAGATAACATTGCTTGATGTTGAAGAAAATCAATTTGTCAACACTTCACAGATTGACAGGAAGTTGTTTTTTTTCCAAGAATATGGCCCTGAAACACTAAGAGATAAAAAGATTTGTAGAGAGAAAGTCAGCCTGTTCTGCTCACTTAGGCTGAAAAAAAATTTATGAAGCCATTTCCATGAGTGCTCCAACATGAAAATTGAGTGTAAAAACTCACATGCACTTTTCTCACTAAGCCAGTGAAGCTCTTACCATCTTAGCACCCATTCTCCCAGCATAATATCAGGGTGTACAATAAATATGAGAAGATGCAGGCTTCCTTGAATAATTCACAATTCATTAACAGCATGGCTTCCATCAGATATGCTCAGCTAAGAACGGAGCCCTTAACATTTCATGGGATAGCATTAGTAATAAAGAATATATAGATGATCAAACTTTCTACATTATTTTCATATCTTTTAACCTAGATACATATATATATAATCCAAGACATTCAAGAACTACAAAACAACAGTTCAACTACAATTATGTCAGGAAAAATACCCAAATAAATAAACTTTTAATTATGATACAATACTTATTACAGTAAAAATTGGCATTTTTTTCCTCTTCAAAAGCAGAAGCACCAGTCTTACATATAACATACTGTTTGAATGATATATCTTACATGGAGTACAGCAAAATACAATGTGCAAACAGCATTTTCATACAGAACATATTTGTCTAGTTCTTATACACTGAAATTGCCTCAAATGGAAACAAGTTCATGCTGAATTAAAAATGTAGATTTAAAAAAAACAAAGTAAAATCAAAATAAGAAGTACTGTTGGAATAGTTACATGAACCATTACAAACGAGGAGAAGCCAAAATAGAGGGTATTGTCAGGTAAATGCAATTAGTGCTCAGTTTGTCCCATTCCATCAAAAAGTAAACAGTTAATATTTGTTTCTAGAAAGTAATATTCTAATATTTAAGAATTCTTCAAAATGTTGGTGTCATTTTAATGATGTAAAAATCAAGTCATAAATAGGACTTCTAAAAATTTCATATAAAAGACTTCAATGCAAACTTAAAAAACATACTTGAAAAAAACAAAGTAAAATCAAAATAAGAAGTACTGTTGGAATAGTTACATGAACCATTACAAACGAGGAGAAGCCAAAATAGAGGGTATTGTCAGGTAAATGCAATTAGTGCTCAGTTTGTCCCATTCCATCAAAAAGTAAACAGTTAATATTTGTTTCTAGAAAGTAATATTCTAATATTTAAGAATTCTTCAAAATGTTGGTGTCATTTTAATGATGTAAAAATCAAGTCATAAATAGGACTTCTAAAAATTTCATATTTTTGATACACTGCAATTATCGTGTGTGGGCTGTGAAAAGAGATGAAGTCCAATGGAGTGAATATACATCAGCATCAACATCATGTGACTTCTGCAAAGGCCGTGATGTGGTTCTACGAGTTAAAGGAAAAACAAACAGATAAAAACCCAGAAACCACACAGATAGACATCAGTCACCAGTGTGAAAATTTTTGCCTCTTGTGCTTGAGGCACAGCCTTATGCTTGGAGATGTCTGCAGGGTGATGTAAATAAAACTGGTTTTCACTGCAGTGCTCTCCCTCACTCCCATAGCAATTCTTTGTTAACAGCTGAAAGACTGGATATGTAAGTACATTCTAATCAGGGTGCAAGGGCTCTACAACATTTTAGTTTTAGATGAGGCTTTTAAAACTATGTAAGAATGTGAATAATTGGGTTAGCTGTACTTCTACTGCTGCCTTATCAATAATTTAAAGCAAAATTTCTAGAAATTAAAATTACAGTTTCTGAGATACTGCAATATTCTACTTCAGTGTAAATACAATTTTAATGTTGCATATTTTTAAAGATTAATTGCTCCCCATGAGCTCAATGGCACAGAATCAAGTAGCGAAATGGTACAGCAAAATTGCATGCAGCTACTTCCTTTATGCTCTAACCTAAGCAGGTGCCTCTGCAAAGAACTGGTAGGTGAAGACAAGTGCACAGTGATGTGTACTATCCAAAGGAACTGTATGTTCTCTTTAGGCACACAGCAGCCTTGACTGCCACAATTTCTTATAAAACTTTCAACGTGTAAAATGAAGTGTATGTTGATATTAAGCCATCTTTGTTCCCCAGTGCAAAAATACACAAAGATAAATAACAGTTTGCAAAGCACTGCAGATTTCTCTCATCATCTTTCCTTCTGGAGCCCGCCAAAGTTAGAAGAGAGGAGACGTAAGCTGAAGAGGAGAGGGGATGTAGATAACTCACAGAGAGTGGGATACCTCTCCCTTTTTCTGCTTAAGTGATGCTGTTCTAAGTCCTTCAGAAAATCCCATATCACACACCACAGAAAGTGCTGGAGACCAGCAGTTGCCACCACACAAGTTTATATTTCCCAGTACATCTTTAAACTGTCTGGATATTTATGTATCAGCCTGTGTGGGGGAAGGTAGGCAGGCATCTTTGATTTTGACATTACAGAAGGAAATTCAGAAGTATCTGAGTGGAAGCTCAGGTGAGCTGTCTCTTATTCCCCACCCTCCAAACAAGTCTGGAAGCTTTGTTCCCTCTCTCACTGTGCCATAGCTGTACTTTGTCCAGGAGGAGGAGCCCTCTTCCCCCTCCCCTATAGTATCATCTTAGCTCTAGCAATATTCTAGCTGTATTTTATGACAGCTTCCATAAGAGAACAGCATCAAATAATATGCAATTTACATTTTTTCCAAAATAGAACAAATATATTTTAAAGAAATAACAATGATTAAACCATAGTCAGATTTTTAAAAGTATTAGAAAAAAAGAATCGGTGTGCAACTCGGTGTGAAAAGATTTTCAGTAAACAATATTAGTAAATATAATTGATTCCAGATTTTTTTTATTCTGCAGAAGAGAACCAAAATCAGATTTCTCAACTAGAAAACAAAACATTAACATTTAGAAGCAACAAAGATGACTGGGAGACTGAAGCATCTCTCTTATGAAGAAAGGTTGAGAGCTGGAACTGTTTAGCCTGAAGAAGACTGAGAGGAGACTTTATCAATGTCTGTAAATATCTACAGGGTCTAAGGAGGATGGAGCCAGACTCTTCTCAGTAGTGGACAAGGGACAATGGGCACAAGCTGGAACACAGGAAGTTCCACTGAAACATGAAGGAAAACTTCTTTATGGTGAAGGTGACAGAGCTCTGGAACAGGCTGCCCAGGGAGGTTGTGGAGTTGCCTTCTCTGGAGATATTCAAAACGCACCTGGATGCAGCTCTGAGTAATGTGCTCTATGGGACACAGATGTGCTTTAGCAGGGGAACTGAACTAGATGATCTCTAGAGATCCCTTCCAAATCTGACAGTTATGTGATTCTGTGATTTAAGTTGGGTGGCCACCTTCTGCTTTCAGTCTGGGAAAGACATTACATTGGGCAACCTCAATAATGCTGAAGTGGCTGTAAGGCTATTATGATATCTTCTTCACAGTATTTACCTCATTTTAACCTGTCAACTAGCATTGTGAAATTCATTCACTTTGTTGATAAGTAGGAGGGTTAAAAAATGAGGAATTAGAAGAAAAAAATCCTCATTATTTATTCAAATCAGTACTTCCAAGTCCTGCTAAGTGCTATTCCTTTCTCTAAGCGACACACACGTGTCCTGTCTGTGATGCAGAGAATCAAACACTCTATTAAGTGGCTTTAATTCAGGACTGGGTAACTACCAGTTTGGAAAGGAGAATGTGGTTCACATGCCTGAGAACTGAGCAGGTCACCATCCTCAGAAGGACATGCAGAGCATGCAACATAACACAGAAGAAAATCCCCCTTCCTCAATAAAACCTCAGAAAAAATGGCTAAGTTACTGATTGCAGAGCTATTGATTTGGACCCTAGTGAAGACTTGTCAATTAATTTCTAACGGACTCAGCAGGTGATGCATCACTAGACCAAAATTAATCACTTGCTGATGGCAAGAATGACTGATACAAATCCATGCAACTGTCTTGAGTATTTATGCTTTTTCATATGTTAACGTTTGAGGCAAATCAGCAAGCCTTGCTAAGACCTTATAGAAAAAAACAAAAACCACACAATCACACAGCATCCCTCTTTGAGTAACTACATTTCAACTCTCTTACTATGCTCTTTGGGTTCTGCTTAGATTTCCTGGGACAAAGTTCAGTGTGAGATACTAACCACCGCCAGCACAAGTTCACACAGATGCAGCAGACAAGCAAAAAACCATGCACAAGATCTCAGCTTCTCCAACTCCATGGGAAATTATTTCCCCTACAGTACTCAAAAAAAATAGAATATGCTAAGGGTCTGCTCAACAGCAGTGGTGTCAGAGACAGGCACATCAGCTTTTGCATTATTCATTCTAAACTGACAGTATCAGCTTGGTGTCAGCACCATGTGAACAAAGCATGCTTCATAACCATGCTCCAACAACACTAACAGAAAAGTGAAAGGCTAAGCCTTGAGTGCAGGTTTCTGGGGGTAAATGATCCATATCTGTATGTCTTACATTAAGATTTTAACATTACAGATTTTTTTTATAAATAGAAATTAATTAAAGCATTGGAAAAAATATTACTTTGTCATCTGCCATATTCATTTCATATATTTAATATTTTTTTACCTGGAATATTTTTGTTCTGCTAGAAATAGAATTATTCCAAAAAAAATTCATAATTCTAAAAGAGATATTTCTATTTTTGAAAACAGAAATTTGAAAAATTGTCTGCAGTCCTCCACAGAGTAGAATTTGTTATAAGAAAATGAAAATACTCCTGTAGTACTTCAGGCAAATAATTTATCATCAGTAATAACAATGCTGACATGCAAGTCTCCTGGTCAGCAAAATATATTTTATGCTTTTACAGGGTGAATCACATTTTTAGAGAAAAGGAGGAGTTCAATTAAAATTCCCCATTTAAAACATTGCAGGCCTGCACAGAACGCTGCCACCACACTGCATCTGCTTTTTTCTTCAAGTCCACACACCAACACTCATGTGTGCTCTTGCACACGTTTATTGCCTTAACTGAAGGTGTTCAAAACAGTCCATTCCTGATACCCAGGAGAAGAACCTAGTGATGCGTGCTTTCAGGCTGTTCTGTTGCAAAGGATCTTCTTGATTGTTACTTATACCTTGATTCTGTAACACCTACAACATTTATATTTGAGCAGGTCACTGAATATATGGTTACATTTCCTACATTTAAGTATTATTTTATTTAAACTTTAGGTGTAGTAAACACAGTTTGCACTCAAAAAGATAACAATGAACAACCCTCCAGAAGATTTTTAACAGAAGAATAGGACATGAATGTCAATTCAAATACTTGACATTGAAACAAAATTGCTGATGGACTTTTATGAGCTGCCCCTCCTGATGTGTTTCCATGTCTGAAACATGGTTGTATTGTATCTACTTTAAAATACTGTAATAACAATAGAAAACTATTATGACATCAGAAATCTGAAAATCTGCCTACAAGCTAATTTAAGCACATGGACTCTAGTTAAGCCATCCTGGTGATACAAATACAGGTACTAAAACACTGTTATGAATACCTGTGTACACTTTTGGGCATCAAGCACAACAGTATTTGGATACACCTCAACTAAAATATTTCAGTGTTACAGAAATAGACACAAACCCTCTCTAAAACATCTGTGTTTTGCTTTTCACCTGTGAGATCAGCAATAAGGAATGTCCTTGCAGAGCCCCAGGGACCAGACTGGACACCCTGAGTGATGCTGTGTGCACACAAGTGCACGTACCAGTGAAAGACTTCTCAGTACCCAAATGCTTAAGAACAAGGAAAAAGCAGTAGCACTGAGAATTTAAATTAAATTAAAAATACCCCTTTTCTGACATGTTAAAACAATATTCTAGGTCTCATGAATTATCAAGATAGAGTCAATAGAAAAAACACTATACATTAAAAATAGAAAGGGGAAGCTTCCTGTCCTGCTTAAACCTTGACACTTCCTCAGTCTTAAAATACTATCAGGATGCATTGCAATATCTATACTTACTATCACTAAAATGTTTTATCACCACCATTGCCTTTGGCACCTGCACAATAGAACAAGAGCTATAGTGTCAAGCCCAACAAGATTTTTGAGACAATTAACCCTGATAGTCACTAGCAATTGGTATGACAAGCAACAAGAGTGCCACATATAATGAGAGGAATTCCAAACGCCTACCATCATTCAAAATTAGAAATGGCTGTGTCAGAGAAAGAGAGAAAGAGAGAGTGTGTGCACATGCAAAGTGGAAGGTGTGATGGGGGGGAGAGAGATAGGAGAGAGACCCTAAACTATCTGCTTCCGGTTCATAGTCATGCTGGAAAGCCAGTCCAATGGGCAAACTGTAAGTAGCTTCACTGTAACAAGGAATGGTTTGGGCTGACAGAAGTAGCACCGTGAAGGAAGGTGAAGCAGAGACTTTGGGAGTAAATGCAGCTTAGCTGTCAACACAGCACTGCAGAGAACCCAGCATGCAAAGAAGTAATATTGAACAGCTACAGAAAGCACTGATGAGCAATCTCATCCCACACGAGATGAACCATAGTGCCTCTGCTAACCCAACACTTCCTTCTAAAACCTCTTACATCAGTATTCTGTCTACTGTCAATTAGTCCTAAAATGCTCCATGTTCCCTTTGTATTTTATTATTTCAAAGCGAGGACTATGAGAGTCAGCAGCTACTACAAGATGTGTGCTAGCCCTCTGACACCCTAGCCAATTTCAGGTGACTTCAGTATGAAATAATGTCAGTCTCCCCTGAAACAGAAAAAATAGTTTATGACTGCACTGGATGAAGCTGAACTTTAAACTCTTCCAGGTACCACCTAGAGTATCCCAATTTCCCAGTAATTCTGGCAGAAGGACAGGAGACTGTGGTAGGAAGAGAGCCTCCTCCCTGCAGGAGGGTGTCAACTAACTGAAACACAAATCATCTTGTAAGAAATGAAGGAGGTCAGAGCCAGGATAGAAAATGGAGCAGATGGGTGAGTGATGAGGTTTCTTGGCTTTCATTCTTTTCATTAATTCTGAGGATGAATGTTGTTAAGGTGAAAGCAATAAGTCTGCATTGCTGAGCCAGCTCTGGCAAGGATTCTTCAAGGAGACACTCTGCAACTATAGCTTATTTGAGAGGATGATAAGGGGTACCCGTGCAGAACAGCTTCATCATCTGCATGCAACATAGTTAAACAGGAGTGTCATGCAAACAGTAATCTACCATTGTCATTAACCAGCAGCAGGTCAATTCAGAATATTACAAATTCACATATTCCTATCTAAGTGCACTTCAAATGTAGCTCTTGACCTCCACCAGAACTCAGACAGTGGCAGCACAGACAGCATGCCAAGCATGTCAAGAACACTCATTCTCCAGCAGGAAAAAGCATGGAATAGCAAGTAGCGGATCTGAAAGCACAAAAATAAGGTGCTTCCAGGTCTGTGTGATGCACCATGTGCTTGTTCATTTACAGGTAAATTTATAACAAAATTGCAATGAGTGAGGCCCCATCTGGTATGCATTTCTAATTAAGTCATTCTTTCAGACAGCATCTTTGAATTGCTTTCTCCAGATACCCCTGTAGTTATCATTTTTAAATACCAACAACAGAGTTGCATTGCTTCATGCTAGCACTGCCTTAGCTCATAACTTCAGTAAGTCAGGAATTGTGCTACTCTTAGTAGCTAACTTCTGACAGTAAGCTGACTTTAATGCTAGAACAGGAGCATGCAAACTGAGAATATGGAAAAACAGATTTAAAATAAGCCACATGTAAACCTATATGCATTCAGAATATGGAACTGGAACAGCCAGTTCCAGTTTAAATGTTTAAAAACATTTATTCTTATGTTTAATATGAAAAAATATCAGCAGTAATTTGCATTTAAAAGAATGCCATAGAAACATACTTTTGGTGCCTTACCCAGCGCAGAATTGTTTATTATCTTCGAACATGGGCATAAAACAAGAGACTTTAACATATAATTGGTGATAAAGTAATTAGAAACAGTAGAATTGCTTTCAAACTTTGAATTAGTAGTTCACACCTTCCCTGAGTAAAAATGTCTGGAACGTTTTCTGCATTTGGTTATGCTATCTATTTAAGAGCTTGTTTGCTCATTAAATTTTTTAGACACACCTACCTAAGCATGACACAGTACGTCATCTTAAAAAATGTAAAATTTTAGCCCAGGAAATGAAAAAAAAAATTGAAACACATTGTGATATTTACTCATGCAAAAAGTTGTCATACCAGGGGACTATCACTAGCATGTCCTAGTCCAAAATCCCATTTGCTTTGGCAAGAGATCATAGCTTTTGTGCAATTACCCATGTTTCTCTATTATTATCATGTTCATTACGTTGTTTGCCCTGCTAGCAGAGCCATCATATCCTCAGTGTTCCCAAGTGGGTGCTTTGTCCTGAGACTTGCAGGTGCCTGTTGATAAAAGCCCTGGAGATGGCCCAGAGGGACTGTAACCCATGCTCTACACTAGCCTGAGAACATACCCTGAAGAAACAGGACAAATGCCAATTGTATCTGAATTGCATAACCCCTTGGGCCCAGGGGTTACATTTTGTCTTTCTAAGCACTTCAAGCTCAGTGGAATCTCAGCCAAAGAGTTAATCAAACTTACTTGAGCAACACAAGGAAAGAGGCCTCATATCTACACAGCCTTACCCCATGGACTTAGCAAAGCCTACAGCAGTAAACTGGACTGATACATAATGACTGTTCTTGGAGCTGACACAAAGAGTCTCCCAAGGATTGTCTCTGAATTAATTCTTCCCTTCTCTCTCCTTCTCTGTCATTTCTCCTTACTTTAAATCTCATTACCTTGGCACTCTTGTCAAGATAGTTTGGGAACTACCTTCCCAGAAAGCTACATGTTTATTTCATTGGTTTTTAAAAACTTAGACATTACCTTTTCTAAAGGGCTTTCTACTCTGGGTATGCTGATCACGGGCATCTGGGCCAAATTATCCATATGCGAATGTTCATGTTCTGGCTGACGTCCTCTGAAGTTATTTACCACACAAACAACCTAGAAGGGATTACAAGATAAACATAATTACTAAGGAATAAATTTTTGGGTTTTTTTGATCCTGACATCCATAGTAAGGCAGAATTGACACCAGTTTTAGTCACAGCTTACAGCAGAAATACAGAATGTGAAGTTGATGTTCTACAGAAAGTCCTTAATTAATGTTTCAAGCAAAAGACTTTAAACCAATTTACTGTGACACATCATCAGCAGAGAACCAAAAAACCCTCTCAACTAAAAGCAAATCCATTACTAAAGCTAATTAACACAATACCAATTATTAGCAATGTCGTGAATAGGTATCAAGAGCATGTACAGCAGAATATGGCAATAACCTTTAAGTCCTATGAAGGACCATCTACGTTTTGAGCAGCAAACTTTCTCAAATGGACAGAGAAAGGGAGAATAAGGAGAAAAGGATCATCCCCAAGTTTAAACTAAACTCTAAACCTGCTCAGGGCAGCCGTGACCCTCACACAGGGATTTAGGAATGTGATATATACCAGTTTTTTAGTGTTTCTACTAATTCAGACACTCAGCTCAGCAGCAATGTTTGCCTACTGTGTCTTGTTCAAAACACAACTCGATTTGATGTCATGCTACTCGAAGGAGTTCATGCAATACACATGACAAAATATGAGAAAAAAATGCCAGGACAGATTTTTATTCTGTTTTCTTTAATAACTTTAGAGGCATAAACTTCTTCAAAATGAACAAGCAAAAATAACTCCTGGACACTTTGTGTGGAACATTTGGAAGCATATTCTAAAGGAGACTTAACGTTACCTTCACTTTTCTCAGAGAAAACACCCATCACAGATCTTGATAACCAAGAATCAAACTAAAAAGTGTTTTCATGGGATAAAAATTGAAAGGTGTATTGAATGTTATTATAAGCTGCCAAGCAAACAAACTTTCAGGCAGTTTTCAGCAGGGACTATTCTATGCCATAGTCTGGCACTAAAGATATCAGTGATGAATGGATTAATGACAACTGACACAGACACTAGTCATTGTGCCACATGACTAACATCTGATTTTGAAACACAATTCCAGAAAAGGGAAAGGCTAAACAAAGATTTTTTTACACAGAATAACAAAATTTCAGTGTAAACCTGAATAAGCATGTAAGAAATTCAACGGGATTACTTTAAAACAAAAAAAAAAGAAATGCTACTGATTTTCTGATCAGTATATGTATTGATATACTGAATTTAATTCTTTATACATTAGATCATGACTAGTCTAAAGGGAATGCACCTTAGGAAAGTGGAGTTTGATGCCAAAAATTATCAGTTGAAATGCTGGAGTCTGGTATATAAGGAAGTCAACAGAGATAATTTGATCCATCCTGTCTTGACTTCACATTTCTGAGTGCATGTAAATACAACTAAGGAAGCTAGTAATTAATTAAAACAAAAATTACAAATCTATTTTGTCATTTAGTTGTTTGAAAAGTCAAGGCCCCCCAAATTTTTTTAAGAGATATAAAGTTATACAGTGTTGTTTTGTTTCAAGCAGAAGTGACAAAGATACACACTTACCAAAAATACTGCTATAGATATTCCTATTATAAATCCTGCTATTACATCTGACCAGTGATTTCGATACTCTGCTACTCTGTTGATTCCAGTAAGAAAAGCCAAGCACATTAAGCCCAAACACAGAACAGGTTTTGCAAGTCTTGTTCCTCTGGCTTTTACTGTGTTGGTGATATACATCTGAAAATTAGATAGGAATAAAGTATAAGACTGATGGATATTGCCCACTAACTGGTGAATAAAAACTTTACATTTCATTTGAACAGACTGTATATTCAGATTATTTTTTTGTAAAGAAACAATAAAGTAGAATGCTAGATAAAGTCATAACACCCTTTTCCTAGGAATATAGAAAAAGAAAGATCATACAGCAAAAGTACATTTCATGTGAACTTGAAGAGCCCCCAAAAGAGCAAGCAAATACAATTCCATCCTATTTTTCCAAATATTTCAATTCATTTATGCAGAGAGGTAAATAGACTGATTTTCCACTGCACAGTGTTGACAATAATAGAAAAAGATCTTTACTCTGAAAGGAACTACATCAAGTCCTGACTTTTATTAGCAGATAATTTCTTCCTCATATACAATTTCTCCATGTGATCAACTAGAGATTTGTCAAAAAGCAGTGAAAACTGAACTACATGCCAGCATCTGCTTTCATAAATAATGTGTAAAAGTTTCAGTCAGTGCTGAACCAACACATCCCTGTACTTCACAGATGGTGACTGAAGATGTTCTGTACCAATCCTCCCAGCAAACAAACCAATCCAAATGTGGAAACTTTTATGCATCAATCTGCCCTGCTCGCAGTATAACTCTCCCTGTACAATACTACTGAATTAAAAGCACTGCCTGATGACAGAGCAGCTCTTCTGCCCTAAGGGTGCATTACTGACTACTAGGTTGAAGACAGCACTTTCCAAGCTCTGATGGGCCAGTGAAAGATATTAATATCAAATATTTGAATTTCCAGTCTCTTGAATCTTGGCATTAAGAGCGCTTGAAAAATTATACTTCAACCAACAAGATTATTGAAAAAAAAAACCAACTTTCTGCAAAAGACATTTCTGCAATTAAACCACTCAAAGCCCTGAACCTCTCACATTTAGAGAGAATTTTTAGATTGAAGAATGCAAATGTCTTCTATGGAGTTTCACTAGAAACTCCAAGTGTGTAATGCAATTGCTTTGAACGGCAAAAGAAACAGGTGCATTTGCACTGAAGAACCGGTACCTTTTTGGCCAACAAATGGGCAGTCCCTTCGTTGTTGGGTTTTTTAATTTGGTTTGTTTTTTGCTGTTGTTGCTGTTGTTTGTTTTTATACTGCCTAAAACTTTGGGTGAATTTACTGGGTAATCAGTTATTATGAAAATAATTCAGTCAAGAAGTTTAGGAAGCACGGTTACAGTTAGAATAAATTAAGTGAAGGAAGTAGTGGCCAGAGTTTGTCTGAAAAGAGCAACATCTGACAGTAATTTTGTTCAAAACACTAGAGAAACATCCATAACTTAGAGGATGAATTAAAGCTTACGCTTAAAATCACAGCAGAATACTGCAACATGTGCATCTTCAGTGTACTTCACATAATGAACAGCAAATCAGTGGCAAGCTTTCAACTAATGCAAACAGAGCAAAGGTTTGTATTGGGGTGTATCTCTAAGCCACATTTCTCCTGTCCTTCCTAGACCATTTCACACGTAGCATTTCTCTCTTTGCTGACTGTCCTTTTATCTTAGCTTCTTCTATTTTTGCAGGTTAGTCTTACCATGTGTAATGCTGATAAAACAACCGCAACTTTAATTTCCAGACTAAATTTTAGCCCCGCTGGTTTTCCTCAAGCTACACACAGAGCACTGCATGCTGAGTTACTCAGCAACCCTCTATTTTAGTGAATCTCATTGTACTTCTGGATATTACCACTATTATCCACATCCACACAACATCTGGTGCTAGGGAAAATACTCTGAATATGCAGCAAGATTACCGGATTTCAAATACAGCTTAGGTGAGGTTGACACAGGGAAGTTGGCAGAAAGTTATCCTGCACTTAATTCTACATTATGGCATATTAAATCAAAATGACTATCAAGAAGGAAAAATAAACTAAAAAAAGTGTAGCTTGTTTAAGGCAGGTTATGGTGACATATCTCAGTTATCTATAGAGTACCTGGTCATCACCCAAGATTATCTCAAATTTTAAGTTAAAACATATTAGAATTCAAATACTTGATTCTGCAGTACTTCAGCCAAGCTTCTGCATTTTTTTTACAAAGCTAACCTGAAGAGTACTCTGCTGAAAATTATTAGAATCTTTTTACAATGAAGCATGTCCTTCAAATCTCTACTCAGACAAAGCACTGAGCAAGCAGAAACAACTGCAGATTCATGCTGTGATTCATATGAGTATTAAAGACCTCCATTTGCTGAGTCCTTATATATGCAGGCAAGATTGTCACGCCTAGTCCATTATTCACAACAACCTGAGGCTTCTGCCAGCACAGGTACCATTTCTATTTTTTCTTATGTTAAAATATTATTAAAGAGTCAATAGAAACAGGGAAAACTTTTTCTGAAACAGTATAGCAAGTAGTCTGTACATCTGCAAAACTCTATATAGTGAACGTAGACTCTTCCAAGGCAGGATTCACAGATGTCAGTTTTTAAACATTACCTCCTGCAGCTCCAGTACAATATATTAACACAAGTAAATTCAGTCAAAGATCTGATTTGCACTAAAAATAAAATATAATTAAGCAGTTATTTTCTCCTTGACTCTGGAAGGAAAGCTATAAACCAACACAGTCAGTACTATGACAAAGAATAAACATCTTGAAAAGATGACAGGATTTTTCTTCTCTTACTTTTCATAAATATTAAATGCAAGAGCAACAAAGGAAAATAGCTCAGTGATTTAAAGCATTAGTGAGAATGACGGTATAAGTTTTTACATGGCTAAAGATGTTTACTGAACAAGTCTATCTCTGTTCCTTTCAAGTACCTAGATCGGGATAGGAGGAATCTAATTAAATAAATCTTTTGAAATAGTCAGCAGCAAGACCAACAGCTGAGATGTTGTATGTAAGGTCAAGGATTGATATAGTAGAGTTAATTTTGGAATCTGCACATTCTCCTGCAACATCAGATTAGTGGTGAATCTTCTCCTTGCAGAACTTCTCCTGTTGTTTTTTAATTTCTCATGAAATAAGATTTTAGCACAAAATTATATAAGGGTGATACCAGCAAGTAGACACTGGCAGAGAGTCATGTAAGGAGCTGGATGTTATCTGAGCATTCTATATACCAATATTTACTATATTTTCAGAAAAAAGCAAACATTTGACCTTTAGTATTCAAGATGCTGGAAGTGAAGTCTTCAGAGAACATCATAAATTGAAAGCAAAACTTAACTGAAGTGGTTTTGAAGATACATATTTGAAAAAGAATCATCATTATCACAATCAAACACCAAGCTACCTATGAGATTTCTGGCATGACTGTCTCAGGCCATAACATAAGGAATAATCATAGTGTTGGCACTTAGCTTGTACTGGGAAAATTTTCAAAAGTTTCATGTTGCAAATCTGATTCATATGAAGTATGTCCTAAATCTAGTGCAAATAAAAAGAGAAGAACAGGAATGATATGTCAAGTGCAGAACAAAGTGGTCTCTTGGACTATGTTGTAAAATCTTCCTAGTTGTCATATTCCAGCTACCTTTAGGCTCACTCACACAAACATCTATGCACACAAACACACACGTAACTAGTCCCAGAGTCTCATTTTAGTTAGAGTGGAGCTAATCATTCTGCTGGGTGCATCAGCCAGGAGGGAGGCTAATTTTCCTAGCTGGTTTCATCAGCCTGGGGCTCTGGGATGTAGGTAGGAAGATCCCCTCTGTGCTGGCTGTTTTGGTCGTCCCTGAAGCAGATGGTCTGGGGGACTGACAAAGAGACAGACCAGTCCGTTAGTGGGTAGAGGATAATGAGTCATGAAGCAACAAGCAGAAAGAGGAAGGAATTGCTGTACAGGCACCTATCGCAGGCAGTGCTCCAAATATAAATTATCTCATGTGTTGTTTTGATTTTGTAATGTGCTAACATTAAAGAAAGAATATTGAACTATTTCAGTAATACAAATGTTAGAGATGTTCAATCTAAGGATTGCACAGCTTTCAATATTTATCTTACCTACAAGAAAAGAAATACTCAAAAAACTGAAAAAAAAGTAGTTGATTTTAGTAGATGGTAGTCTAAAAACAGGTTCTCCATAAGTCTCTAGCTTTCTCCATAAGCTTGCAGTAATTATTGATGATCACAGAAAAAAACCTGGCTTTCAAAGTCAGGGAACTGGGTTAGCAAAAGGAAGAAAAATGCTGGACCTTACTATTAAGTTTCCCACTATGAGCTCCCTAGAGCTCATAATTCTAAACAACTGGAGAAGTAAAGAAGTATCCTTCAACACACCAGGACTGGGAGATAAACTCAAATACTAATTAAAGCTGATTTAGTCTACACAGGTTGCCATGTTGAGCAACTGAATTATAACAAAGAACTGACTGAAAATAATTATCTAGAGATCTTCAGATAAATCCCTGGATCAAATTATAATGATATTTTACTGTTCAGCTTGAAATGAGCTAATACACTCAACAGAGGAAACCCGTGATTTATACTGTACTAGTTTCAAGGGATACTTTTACTTGCTGCACCAGATACTGAAAAGAAATTCCACTTTCCTAACACTGCCCCTTAAAAGCAGACAAAGGAATCCTTTAATTTTTCAATATCCTAACAAAAAAAAAAGGCAACACCACTGATTTGTATGGTGGCTCTGCTACTCCTTTTCCTCCTGAACACTCCCAAAAGCCTATCAAGGAGTGGCCTGTCATGCCTCCACCAGCTTCCCATTGAACAGCTGCCAAACAGGCACTTCAAGACAGAGGAGAGGCAAGACCTACACCTAAAGACTGGATCAAGGAGTGGGACTGAGCAGAATGCCACCACGTTGCAAGCACTGTGACCTTGATGTCTTCTCCCAGTGACTTACAAACAGAGCAAATAGCAAAGACAATACAGCAGATGCCAGGATCAAGAACCTTGCAGAAAAGATGATCACAGGCCCAACATAAGCACTCTAGGGAATAAGAAATTATTTGTCAGCTTTACCTGCTAGCTCTGCCTGAGGCTGTAGTTGAGGCCAAGGGTTCAAGTGCAAAGCAAAAGAAGCAGCCTACAGACCTAAAGACCTATTCCTTTATCATTACAAATCCAAAGTCAATCTGAAATATATGCAGTAACACCAAGTTCAAACACTACCCTGCAGACAGGTTGGCTGCCAACTGCTCTTGTCCAATGCAATAAGACTAAAACAACAAAAAGGGAAAATTTCAATACAAATTTTAATTCATTCTATAAACTACAACTAGCAATGGCCAATCTCCTAGGTCTGCAGTTGTTAGTCACAACTTCTCACACTTAAATTCATGGGAATAAACTGACTAAATTTCCATATATCACTTTGAAATCTTATAAAAGAAAGATTCATGACTTCTCATTTGAGTTGTGGAAAAAAAACAAGTATGTACATACTTGACTGCTTCAAAAGTTGCCTCTAATTGCTCAGGCTGTGTTAGCTTACACATATCAAAATGTGGTTTATACAACTATTTTTTATTGAATAAACTTGAAGTGTTTGCCTTAATACATATTTTAGCAGATGTTGTCCCAGCTAAGAAAGGGTGAATTGCAATGCTTATAAGAAGTGAAAGCTGATGCAGTCAACTTATTAAAACAACTTAAGCAAAAACAGACAAACAAGAGATCATCAAGACAAGTTGAGCAGATCGCCGAGAAGAAATTCAGGTAGCAGCCAGCTTGTTACTGATTTTGGAAGATTTACAGTACTTTATTTTGAAGATTCTGGTACACTGGGAAAAATAAACCTGCATCTGAAGAAGACAGGTAATGTATCCTTGAAAGTGTCTGTGTTAGGATCAGGACTGAGAAAATTGCTTAACCATAGTGCCGCAACATTTCCATCGCTAAATCTTCGTTAAGTACTGAGAGAAAGTAATGGAGGCAAACATTACAGAGAGGTCTAAATATTAACAATAAAAATTGTTTTAAAAAGACTGTACTTTGAGCAGGAGGGAAATTCAGAGTTACCATAGCAGCCACCCACTCTCAAAAGAGGGGGATAGGGAAAAAAGGAAGACTCAAGAACTTAGATGAAAAAAGAAGCTATTGTTAACAAGGCAATACATAGAGATGCTAGGTGATAAGGACATGGGTGTACTGAAAAGGAACCAGATAGGGGAATTATTAGATAAATCCTAGGCTTTTTTTTTTTTTTAATGCACTGATTGGTCAAATCACAGAAGTCTGACACTTTTCTTTGCCCCCTCAGAGAGCAAGGACTCTGGATCAGCTTGTTGGCTGTTTATGCCTTTAAGCTGGTTTTGCTTTGTGCACAGCTAGCTGAAATGTTCAGGGAGGACTCGATAACAATCCCTCCTTCTCTCCCAAATAGCTCTGTTAATGAAAAAACAAAGTACATTTTGTATCAGAGATATGTTCATTAAATACAGCTATGTACTATATGGAGATCTTTATGTCCATGCTCTCAATAAATGTTGAACCATGGCTCAAACAGAGACTGGGCTACTGTTTAAAACTTCCACTTCAGTAAACAGTGATGATAAATTTGTTATTCAGGGCCAGCTACCCTGATAAACATCATGACAGTGTAAGGACATGATCCCAAATATTGGAACATTGAATTCCTTTCCCTGGTGTGTAACAAACAGTATTTTTAGCTGCAACCATGCAACAGAATTAAAAAGAAAAAAAAAAAAAAAAAGGAAGAAAAAAAAAAGAAAAAAAAAAAAGAAGGCCTGCCAACATTGCATCATAGTTCTAAATTTGCAGGCTACAATTCAGCTGGTACATCATAGCAATTCAATTTATTAGGCAGCTTACAAGAATTCAGAAATCCTGAAAGCAGTTTATAGTACTTTAGTTAAACGATGAGAGTGTCATGCATCATGAAGCAATACAGTAATGACATAGGATGCTGCAGTTACTGAAAGACTATAATGTCATGAAACAGATCACAGCAGTTTTACCTTCTGACATTGCTAATTGTATATTGAGTACAGATAACATGATGTTTGCATAAAGTGCTCATGCTCATGTCAAAACCCATCGATAGTAGGTATTACACTGTACTAATGTCCACTTTTTGTTTCTAAAATGTATTAATACTATTTTCCTTCCTGCTTTGCAGTAGTTGATTTCCTTTAGTTACCATGACTCACGACAACAGTGGAAATCCAACTTCACAGATGGATGAGAAAAACAGGAGCAATTGAAATGAAGAATGCTAAATGCTTTCTAAAATAGCTTGAGCCAAATTTAGAGGCATGTTTCAGCAAAGCCAAGCCTTAGATACGTACCCAAATAAAGACAATACTATTAGGAGTCTTACGCATGCCTCAAGTTAGAAGAGAATTTTATTGCTTATCTCTTATTTGCAGATAACACTTGTCTGGTCACTAACCAATGATCCACATCTCTTAAACAGTTCATACAAGGAACTTTTGGTAAATGTTACTGTTAGTGCTGCAGATTTTAAGCAACTGCTTCTAAAACCATATTCAGAAGCATGGAGTTGGCACACTGTCTGTGGATGGGTTTGGGATCTTTCCTGGCAAGTATCAGTTTCCAGAATCAGGAATTAAAAGTCAGCTCATTAAATATATGCTCTAAAGCAATACACACATATGTAAATGAACATTCATACATACATGCATAGACAGGTCACTGTTCAAATATTGAGGGAATGGGGTGATGCCTGCAATGACCACAGAGGTACACAGACACTTGCCTAGTTTCCCATGGACACTATGAGTGCAGTCCCGGGCCCATCCAAAGGGTACAAAGGACTCTGATCACCAGAACAGGTCAGGTAAGAGACTACCACAGGCATGTGTGAGGGACAACTTTGCTAAGACCAGGATGTTCTTCTGCTTAGACTAGAACAATGTGCATTCCAAACTAAGCCAGGGAGTACTGCAGTTACTCGAGTGAGATTCATTAGTCACTCTCTCCTGCCTCCTCACAATTCTCATTAGCCTCTATAACAGCTCTGATTCCAGGCAGGAAACCTCAATTTTTACCCCAGCCCTTCTCATCACTCCCTGTGTCAGAGAAGAGAGAGAGAGGAAGGGCTGGATCATCTTGTAGCCCATTTCACTGTAAAATAAGAGCCAAACTGACTATGCACAAGCACTGAGGTACCTATAAATACCAATTCTGGTACCTAAAGACAAGTACAGATCCCAGGAAACCTGTGGAGACCAGAAACATATATGCCCACTCTTCTGCTTCATGCCACCATGGAACACAGACGTGCAATTCTACTAATCTGTGCTGGGTTAAAACATGGAAAAGAACTACTACCAGTCATGAGCAATCCCTACCCTTACTCTTTACCACCCAACAAAGCACCCTCCCACATTCTCTGAAAATGAGGAAACAGTAAACCAAGAACCTGGTTATCCTAAATCTATAACTCTTTTTGGACAACTTGTCCTCTCTCAGCATTGCCTTAGGTTTCAAGGCTGAGAGAACCACTATATCTGTAATTGTCAGAATTAAGTCTAATTAAGCAAATTCTCAAAGGCCTTCAGGTTTATATACATAAAATCAGCCCACAGTTGTCTTCTCCTCTCCCCATTCCTCCCTCCTCCCCTCACAGTATGAGCTGTTTGCTCTCAAAAATAAATTGACATGAAACAGTACAATATACTTACAGCCAGATACATAGCTGCATATATGCTTAGTGCTGCTTCTTTGGATGGGAATGTCTTTCTGGCTTTCATTATAAGGTCTGGATTTCCAGTACAGGCATGTACACTACTGATGAACTGCGTATACTGTTTACATCCAAGTGCTGTATAGTTGGGTTTACAAAGTGCAAGAAAATGTGGTGCAAGATTCCCTGTTACTACTTGTCCAGCATTTACAAAGATGTCCGTAGCAAAGAGTCCAAACGCATAAATTCCTAAAAAGGGAAACAAAGAGTTAAATTTTCTGACAGTTTCACTCCAGGGCAACATATTGTAATATTTATTGTAGGAATATATCAGATCATTCAATTTAAGAACATGAAAAACTCTCACATGTATTGTACTCTAAAGATTCTGGCTTACATTGGAGATTTTCCTACAAAACTGCAGCAACAACATTGCAACTTACCCAAACACCTGATCTTTCTCCATCCTTCAAAGGATCACACTCATCTCCTTTGCAGGTAGCCCACTTACCTAGGCCCCTTAGCCATTAACCCCAACTGCTCAGGGCAGCTAGCTAAAGTGGTACCTAACTTTCGTCCATGTTCACTAAACAGAAGTGACAGTGACAGAGGTAAATTTTTCACCTTACAAATCTGCTTGAGAACCAAGGAAGTCAGGCTCTGATGGAGAAGTAACTTGAAAAGCAGTAAGATCTATATGTCAGAGGAGCTAAAGAGTTTTTTTTAATCAGACATATCATCAAAGCACAAAGCACGTGTACTCATTCATTAGAATGGAAATGCATGTATCTGATCATTTAAAAGAAAACAGATTTCTGCTATTCTGAGGTCACTTTCTATCCTTTTGGAAGCAGAGAATGAGCTCTGGAAGGAAACGCAAATGGGGAGGCAAAGCCAGTAGATGCATGTTCCAATTCTACCTGAGCTACAAATTTCCTGTACTTCCACAGGCAAATCACCTTACCTTTTCTAAACTGCAATTCACTGTGAATACAGCACAAGTTCTGGCAGTTCCAAACTTCATGGGGCACCATGAGGACTTTAATGGATGTACAGCACAGCAGACATGATGCCAAAGAAACACACATATTTCTAAAGGTCAGGTTTTTCCTCAGCAAAGCTAGAGGACTGAGGATGATTTCTGAGATCCTGACTGGTCAGCAACATCATGCTAACATTAATTGACCCTGAGCTACTAGCCACTGGCGAGCAATTCATTGTGCCTTAACAAGGCACAGAAGGGCCTTTCAGCAAGCCCTGTGGGTGTGCACTGCCCCAACATAGGTGGTCACATCACTTTGTGTGAGCATAACGGGTAGTGATGCCTCAGCTGGTAGAACAGTGTGGAGGCCATTGTTCACCCCTTCCCTTTTCTTAATCTTTTTTTTTCTTTTTTTTTTTTTACTATTCCCCCCCCCCTTCTGTGAGCAAGGAGGGCTCACCAAATGGGAAGGAAATGTGGGCACTGATTACACTCAGAGCAACTGGAGCAGGAGGAGCTCCTCATGATCACTCACAACCTCCTCTGGACCTATGCAAGATAGTCTCATTCTTCATTACTTGTAGCGCTCCTGTATGCCAGTGAGCAATCATGCTCTTAGAAGGCAGGCACGGCTGTTACACAAACACTGCAAATACAGACACAACTGCACTGCCTCTCCCTCCCCCTGCAAGTGGGGCACACAGGAGGATTAGCTGCCACAACCTGTGTTAGCTTCACAACTATGAATGAGAAGCAAACAACAGAAGTGGGACCTGCTATAGCATCCCTGCACATATTCAAAAGCAACCTCTAGAAATATTCAACAGACATTTTATATGGTGGTACTTCTCCCTCCAAACCCATTTACAATAAACTAAGCAGAAAGGATGACATCCCATACCTACTGAAGGCACTGGGGGAGTTACTGCTGAGTTCAGTGGAGCACAGATTCTGTATGGTTTTCTATTCGAGACTATAACGCAATCTCCATGCTAAGAAAGTACCTAAACCTGGCTTGGCTTCAAACACACATTTGTATCTCAATGTCTGTAACTGTGGCTGCTTTGTGTGTGTGTAACCAAAAGTGAACTTTCAACTGCAGGTACAGCACAAGGGTATCTCTGTTCTCCACCCTGTCCTAGGCCTGCTGGTTGTTTTTCCCTCTTGTGATCCCAGTTTCGTCTATTTTTATTGCTTCTTCTGCAACTATTTTTTTATCCAACCTTCCAAGAAGCTTCATTGGCTATCCAAAAGAAGATAACTCACTGCACTTGAGTTAAGACTACACATGAAATGTTGTGTTGGTTATCTTAGTATTTTTCCCCAGGTTAAAATTAAGACTTAATTGATTACTCTCACCATTCAGAAAATGACAGCATTAATTTTGCTCATACCAAGGAATCTGATGGTCCTGCGCACCAGTGGATTTATATAACAACAGTCTCCAGTTAATATTGTTTTTTCTTGGTTTTCAAAATCCTTTGTAGCTAACTGTAGACAAAACACTGCAGTTTCTCCAATGATAATCTTAAAGGAGAAAAAAGGGGAGAGAAATGGTACATCAGATTATAGCAAGTAAAATACACTACTATTACAGAGATATCTATCTCATCTTAAGGAAACAAGACCAATCCAGCACAAAAGACATAAGTTAACGAAGTCCTGTACATTAATCTTCTTCTGAGGGAAATATGCCTTATGGTTTGCTTTACTTTATTTGCATTAAAAGAATAAATTTCTACAACCAGGACTTGGAATTGACCTGATTTTCAGGATGACAGGAAAGACAAAGAAATCTATTAGTTCAAGAACAGATTGCACAATGCACAAGATGTGGATCAAAGTATTAATCCTGAAAGATGAACATTCCAGTTCTGATGTGGCCTTCATTGACACTCAGCACTTCATGGGGTTAAGCTCTAAATTTTGAACCATTAAGAGGGAGAAGGGGAAGGAACAACAGAGCTCTTGTTCACACCAGAGGATTGGTTTACCAGGCGGTACTTAACAGGGTTTGATTCATATTTTGTCAGCTAAATTTATCAAGTCTGGCTTTATCTTTGCTCCTCATGCTTGAACAAAATGTCACCATTGATATTTTAACATTAAGCATGGCTTGTTCTGCATCTGTTACACCAAAATGAATAAAATTCTCATGTCTGTAGATAATTCACATTAGAGTTGGTAAAAAATAAAGAGATAAAAAAATAAAAACATATTTTTTAACATAAAATATGCCCTCTAAGACGTGTATTTAACTGTACAGCAAAACAGGACCTTTGATTTGGTATTGAGATTTAACAGCCAAAGCCAAGCCTGAAGAACATACCTATCTAAACCTATGATACTGAAGCTTTACAGCAGGTAGCACAGGTATAATCAAAACGAGTAGAGCAGAAGGGTCAAATACTGACCACTGTATTCCAATTTTGATTCCCTGTGAGACTTAAAGGCAAGGATCTTCCACTCTTCTATATGAAAAGCAGTAAAGCTTATTGATAGATACATCACAATTTAATAAGTAGCAAAGAAGACCAGCAAACTGAAGTCTCTAATACTACACAAATGTAAGAAATACTGCCATCAAATCTGATTAATTGCCTAGGTTTTTCTAAACCTTTGACCTAACTGGAAAATATCAATCTTTTAATATATCACAATAGGTCTGAACTATTTACACAGTACGGGTTACAACAAAAAAACTCAAACAACTATAGATGACAGCTCATAAACACAGTTGTCAACAGAAGAATGAAATTAATGACCATACTTAGTAATCTGTGGATCTATCTTCAGATGACTTCGGGTAAAATTGCAACACGCAGAGGAAGAAAGTGCTTCTTATGAATAATGTGGCACAAATAACAAAACTACCCATGCTGGCTAAAATGCAAAAAGCACAATTCAGTTTCTCACAGAAACAGTAATCATCAATTACTTTAAACTAGCTTCAGATCCTAGTGTAATTTTTAGATGAAACAGAAATTTCAACACCTGATAAGTATTCTCCCTCTACTTTGATGCAAGCGAATTTTTAGCACATTGAAGCACAATTCCTTTGTCTATAATTAACAAATTATTGGTACACATATGAAATATAACTCAACCTTGAATTCAAGTTCATCAAAATTCTGACAATGATAAGAAGAATTCAGCCCTATGACCCCTAAGGCTCTCATGAAAAACAAACGAACAAACAATTTAAATATGAATTATAGATGTGAGAAATGAAACAATAAGATTTTTACTGTGAGTAACAGTAACTCCATTCTCTCCTCTGGAATAATGAAACACCTGCAACCTTAACACAGCCAAATTCCACATTTAACTGTCTGGGGTTTTTGTTTGGGTTTATGTCGGTTTTTTTCCCATAATCAATACATTTCAGTAAAACTATTGCAGATTTCCAAACTCCAGGAAAAAGAAGAATCACATACAAGGGAAGCATCTGTGATATACAGTGATTAACCTCTTACAAGAATACAAAGTGTGCCAGTAAGCTCAACCCTCCAGCTCTGAACACTTTCTGAACCCGCTGATCTAGGAATACAGTTTCTTCTTTTTGGTTGGTCAGGAAGCTCAGGTTAGCAAGTGGCAGAACTGTTCATTCACTTATAGGAAAGGAGATCCTCACTTCCAGGAACCTGTCTTCATCAGCTGCATCTAGGTCCTTACTGCTGGCAACAATGTTTCCTTCTTAGACTTCAGTTTTTGCTGGTGACCTGGATAAGGAAAACCCTCTGCTCCAAGAATAGAAGCAGCTATTTTGTTCTCAGCTATTTCTGAATGAAAATATTCTCAGAGTGGGTACCAGGTGCAATGGTCAAAACAATATAGAACTCCACTAAAGACCAAACTTTTGCTATACTAAGCCTAGTACTCTACTGTCAGAAGTAATGAAAATGGAATATTCCATTGAGCACACCAGGCATTAATCTCTATACTTCTGTGACTTTACTTTTATAGACTCCTCCTGGAATAAATACAGGTTATTTTTTTTGTACTGACAGTTCAGCTGAAGCTGTTCTCGTCCTCCATCCTTCAGCACAAGCACTGCTCATCTCAATAATCTGCATATTGATGTCTAAGACATTGAAGGAATCCTGGAATCACAGAATAATTTTGCTTGGAGAAGACCTTTAAGACCATCAAGTCCTTTTCATCATTTTCAATTCCAGTAAGTCCCAGGAGAGGTGCAATTCTTTCCCCTTCTCTCTGGCAAGACTGGCAATAATCAGCTCTACCAGGCGGAGAAAAGGGAGAGCGATCTCCCTCTTGTTCTTTAGTATAATTTGCATGCCTGGTATATTCCAAGAAAGAACCAATTTCTGTATTGCCTCCGGCACAGAGATCATCATTGCCCCTTGCACTGCATATGTGAGTTGCAACCCATCAAAAAAATGACATTTAAAATAACATAACTATTTTAGTACTTCTTCGCTAAGTTTCAGGAATTCCAAAACTGACAGATATAGATTGCAATGGAGAATATAAAAGCTCTGACAACATGAACTTTTGGATCAAACTACACAAGTTTAGATACAGAAATACAAGTTGCAGTGAAAAAAGTAAAGGCATCTTTCACCTTGTTCAGTCTAACAGGGTCAGACTACTTCAGATCACTGTACAGATTTCCTGAAGAATTATATATATTAAAATTCTTAGCTCACAGGTATTTTAACAGCTGTTAAAGACCATCCTTGAGCTGTTAAAGATCATCCTTCCCTAAGGCTGAGAAAATCTTTTGACATACAATTACAGCATGTAAAGCATATAGGAAATAACAATTTTCACCTGAAGACTATCAATACAATTTGCAGGCTTTCCAGTGTTCCAAAGAACATATATCAAAATAAGTTTCACAGTCCTTAAATAAAAACACAGTGTACATAACTGTTACAAGCAGAAGCAAGACAAGAATGACTGCCCTACAGGCATCAGCCTAAGCTCTGACAGGTAATGATCATGTCCTTGTTCTACTGCAGCTTCCCTCTAACCACAGGGAAGGCCTCTAGTCCTGGTTCACAATACAAAGTGTACTAGGAACAATACAAAAGATCACTCTACATAAATATATTAAATATTAAAATATACTTAATAACTAGCATTTATAACAGAATCATAGAATTATTTTGGTTGGGAAAGACTTTTAAGTTCATCAACTCCAACTGTTAACTTAGCACTGCCAAGTCACCACTAAACCATGTCCCTTAGCACCATACTACATATCTTTTTAATACTTTCAGGGATGGTGAATTCACCACTTCCCTAGGCACCCTGTTCTAGTGACTGACAACCCTTCCAGTGAAGAATTTTTTCCTAATATCCAGTCTACACCTTCCCTGACACAACTTGAGGCCATTACCTCTTGTTCTACCACTTGTTACTTGGCAGAAGAGGATAACACCCACCTCACTACAACCTCCTTTCAGAGAGCAACCAGGTCTCCCCTCAGCCTCCTTTTTTCCAGATCAAAAAACTCCAGTTCCCTCAGCCACTCCTCGTAAGACCTGTGCTCTAGTCCCTTCACCAGCTTTGTTGCTCTTTTACAGATACCCTCCAGCACTTCAATCTTTTCCTTGTAGCAAGTGGCCCAAAACTGAACACAGTATTCAAGGTGCAGCCTCACCAGATAATCCTTTCTTTTTATGGAAGCATGGTAAAAGAGTTATTAACCCAGCAAAATCTAAATTAGAGAAAATATTCTGATAGCCATTTCCATGGCAATCACATCCTGCATGTGATGTGACAAATGGATTGCATTGAATGGATCAGCATCCAGGAACAGAGTTGGTGTGGGGTGAGATTTGAAATTATTTTTTTTTTTCTTGTTTCATCTCTTCACTCCTGATTCATTTAGTAGCTGACTTATTTTCATGGTGCTTTTGTAGTAGTAATATATTTATTGTCAATACCTGCCCCTTTCCTTGTTTTCTGAACAGAATTTTAGCACACATCCCCTACACTGACTCCTTCATCCCTATTTTTTTCTGTGTTAGTAATTTTTCTGAATCCAGACAAGCTGCTCCTAGCGTGTCAATTTAGAAATCTAATTTGCTCTTCCCAAAATCATCCATCCAGTATATTCTTAACTTGATTCTAAATTATGAGCTCTTTTTCAACTTGAAATGGCAAACCTGACTCAATCCATATATTAGCACTAGAGCAGCACTGACCTTGTTGATTTTCCAAGAAACTGACTCCATACACAAACTTCTAATGTAATGTATGTTTTACAACAGCCAGCACCTACATAAATAAATTAACTTATATCTGCACTTCTGAAATACTAATGAGGCTCATTTTGTGGACTAGCTTCTCATAAATTATGTAGCTTCCTATAAAAACCCAGGAAACCAGGATCCAAGTAAGAATCAAACATTAATTTGGAATACAAGAGAGCTGAGTGTATATTAATGCATTTAAATAGGATAAATCTTGAAATCTAAGGTTGATAATCTCTATTTGTGATTAGGAAAGAAATTTCTGTGTACACACTCATAGATCTTTCTAGCTAACATCTATTTAGGGTATAAAAATGTTCGTGAAATATTTCAGACATGCCAGGGAACATGGTATAATACACAATTGCCTCTCTGCCAATTCTCAGTGTTACGCCGTAGCCACAGCAACTGCTCAGTTAGATGGACTAACACTGAAAAGCAGCTATTACATTAAAAAGACCACTAAATATTAATCATTCTGAAGTTTTCAAGTTAAGAACAGCTGACAATACTGTGCACTGTACTTTCTCTGACTTCATTTTATTTCTCTCATTTAGAAATCACTTGAGCCCTAACCAAGGCTTCTGTGAGACCTCCTTCAAGAAATAACATGGCAAGGGACTGTCCCTTTGGGGAATGAATATCTCAGCCAGTTCACAGCTCTGCTTGCTTTTCTAGAATGAACTTCCTCATACTTCTTTATCAGGCAGGAAGGGAAGCTGGGAACTGGACCTAAAAATCTTGAGGATGATCTCTCTACCTCTAGGCAAATTGTCATAATTTAAGATGCATGGCCTCCCCATTCACTTCACTTACGAGTTTCCGCATTAAAATGTGTGGGGTACATTTCTTTTAAAAATATGGCTTCCATAGGCTTTGTTGTTCCTATTCTTTATATATATATATATATCTTTTTTTATTTTATCAAGATTATGGGCTCTTTCTGCTTTATTTCCCCTTTAAAAATGCCATTAATATACCACAGAGCATAGTGGTCTCAGGAGTTTGAAAAATCTGACAGCATAAACCTCAGTCTTTAGTGATGCTATAGATAAGTTCCACTCTCCACTTTAAAGTGAAATTGCTGTGTGAGGTGACAGCCCTGGCAGGAAAAGCAGCAACAGTACTTCCAGTAGCAGCAATTTCAAGTTTATTACATAGAGCTTTCCCTTGAGGCCATTTTCTTTGTGTTTTTCTTGTTCTTATTGCTTCTTGCTTGCTTAAACTGATAGCACATGCCCTGGTTGATTTTCACAGAAGCACATTTTTTATATTAAAAAATGACCAGTAGTTTTAAGGAAAATGAAAAAATAAATACTAGATAAATCTATTGATTTATCTATTGATTAAATACAAAATATTTCCCTTGCATTCATCATGGAGATATAGAACCATACTACACGGCAGTTTCTGAAGGTCTATAGAAAAGATGTGAAAAGAAAACTGCTTTTCTAGAGAATAATATGGAAAAAAATACTCAGCCTTTTTTTTACCTAGTATATATTCTTTTTAAAATGTACTTCCCATTTTTTGGGAAAAATATAAAAATTTTAATAGAGTTCTTGGCATATGTTTGGTCATTACCACTTACAGAAGAAAAATAGCACTATAATATTATATATCTAAAAGTCAAATATTATCTGCTTTACTTATTTCTCTGTAGTGCAGAATATAGGTATAAGCTACTACAAACTAATGGTCGTTCTGGCAGGGAAAAATATTCTTCACTGCTTTGTAATGCATTGTACACGTAGTCTGTACTTAACACTGGTGAAGGTTGCTTACTTCATGAGGTCATTATTATTTGAAAGCAAGAAGCACATAATAACCGTTTATAACCAGGGAGCTTCAAGTGAACTCCATGAGTCAATAGACAGACATGGATAACTTCATCATTCACTGAGTTGCCTTCATTCATTACTTTATCATATGACAAAAAAAAAAAAATAATAAATTACATATTTATAGTACAGTGGCTATAAAAGCTTCCTGGCCTTTACCCCTTCCTTTTCCTAAATGAGCAATTGATCATGTATGCCAAAGGCTTCTCCTCTAGAGCATGCCTGTGTTATCTAACAGGAAAAGCCTCTGCACAGCTGCACACCAGGGCTGGAATCACGCAATGTTGGAGCAAAGTCTGATTACATAAAAGAGCATGTTGATACATTTCTTTTAAAAATATGGCTTCCATAGGCTTTGTTGTTCCTATTCTTTATATATATATATATATATCTTTTTTTATTTTATCAAGATTATGGGCTCTTTCTGCTTTATTTCCCCTTTAAAAATGCCATTAATATACCACAGAGCATAGTGGTCTCAGGAGTTTGAAAAATCTGACAGCATAAACCTCAGTCTTTAGTGATGCTATAGATAAGTTCCACTCTCCACTTTAAAGTGAAATTGCTGTGTGAGGTGACAGCCCTGGCAGGAAAAGCAGCAACAGTACTTCCAGTAGCAGCAATTTCAAGTTTATTACATAGAGCTTTCCCTTGAGGCCATTTTCTTTGTGTTTTTCTTGTTCTTATTGCTTCTTGCTTGCTTAAACTGATAGCACATGCCCTGGTTGATTTTCACAGAAGCACATTTTTTATATTAAAAAATGACCAGTAGTTTTAAGGAAAATGAAAAAATAAATACTAGATAAATCTATTGATTTATCTATTGATTAAATACAAAATATTTCCCTTGCATTCATCATGGAGATATAGAACCATACTACACGGCAGTTTCTGAAGGTCTATAGAAAAGATGTGAAAAGAAAACTGCTTTTCTAGAGAATAATATGGAAAAAAATACTCAGCCTTTTTTTTACCTAGTATATATTCTTTTTAAAATGTACTTCCCATTTTTTGGGAAAAATATAAAAATTTTAATAGAGTTCTTGGCATATGTTTGGTCATTACCACTTACAGAAGAAAAATAGCACTATAATATTATATATCTAAAAGTCAAATATTATCTGCTTTACTTATTTCTCTGTAGTGCAGAATATAGGTATAAGCTACTACAAACTAATGGTCGTTCTGGCAGGGAAAAATATTCTTCACTGCTTTGTAATGCATTGTACACGTAGTCTGTACTTAACACTGGTGAAGGTTGCTTACTTCATGAGGTCATTATTATTTGAAAGCAAGAAGCACATAATAACCGTTTATAACCAGGGAGCTTCAAGTGAACTCCATGAGTCAATAGACAGACATGGATAACTTCATCATTCACTGAGTTGCCTTCATTCATTACTTTATCATATGACAAAAAAAAAAAAATAATAAATTACATATTTATAGTACAGTGGCTATAAAAGCTTCCTGGCCTTTACCCCTTCCTTTTCCTAAATGAGCAATTGATCATGTATGCCAAAGGCTTCTCCTCTAGAGCATGCCTGTGTTATCTAACAGGAAAAGCCTCTGCACAGCTGCACACCAGGGCTGGAATCACGCAATGTTGGAGCAAAGTCTGATTACATAAAAGAGCATGTTGAGAAAGCTACCACGACGCTGCTATTCTGAGTGTAGCTAAGAAAAGGGTCTTGTGCCATCACCATAGAGGGCCAGAGGGTGAGTCCTGGCATCTGACAGCAGGTCCTGCATTTGATGCTGCATTTGATGGCTGAAGTGGAAGGGTGAGCATGCAGCCCCACACCGCGCTGGTCCTGCTAGGCTCCACCTGGATGGGCACGTTTGCTCTGCATTTAGCCTGTTCTACCCACTGCCCTTGGCATTACACCCTCTACTCGCAGCCACTACATTTTTCATACTGCTGCAAGATGAACATCCAGCTGCTCTGCACTGCAGCCCTTCAGGGGATTATAAATGGCATGGACACTAGAAAAAAAAAAAAGCTCAGTAATGCTAACATGGCAGTCTGGGGGCCTACTAAGTGCCTGGTATCTGGCTCCATAAGCTATTTAGCCACTGAAATGCTTTCAAAATACTGATATGACTATTCTTGGTGAATGCATTCCAAGAGGTAATAGATAACAGATGTGAGAACTCCTTTGCTCACGCACAGAGATTTTCTAATTTTTAAGAAAAAACACCCAAAACCTAGGAAAAATATAATCTAGAGAGAATTTTCAACATCTAAAAAACCTAGTAATTTTAATCTGAAAATGGCAATGGGAATTGAAAAGAATTATTACAACACTGCCTTCTAAAAGTACCAATTCACATTTTAAAAGACAAAGTCACCTGAGGCTGAAATATTCCAGATAAGGTTCTTACAACTCATACAGGTTTTAAGTTACTCTCTTTTTCTTTTTGCAAAAATGAGGATGCCATTATCCAAAGTCTCCAAGCTCCACACTTCACTTTACAAATACATCTTGTTAGGAAGATGGCTTGTAATATGACCACAGATCAACTAATTTTAGTCTCCAGATCTCTGAGTGATACTTGAAAAATGCTGTTGTTACATATAATTATTTCATTAGGGATTCTGAAAAATAACTACACCTCAGAGTTTTTCTTTTTTCAGGTTGCTTCCTCCTTTAAAATACTATAAAATTTGTGAAGGAAAAACAAGACATTCACATCCCTACCATTTATCTATTATAAGATTAATTCCACACAGCATGGTCAGCTGTGCACACAGCTGCATCAAGGAAGTCCACTTGAAGTGGACTTCAAGTGATACAAGTGATACACATGAGAAAGACTGTGGCTCCTTATGGCTTGGCATTGGTAAACCCCTTTGTTTCTTGACAGTCTACAAAAATAGAGCTTTGTTCTGTCTGTTGAGGGAGATGAGCTTCTCAACCCTTTTGTGCATGTTGAAAACATTACTCCTTGATGAGCACAATATCAATGCTTATGATACCCATACCAACAATCTTTTCCAACAGCGATGTTACTTCATGATTTAAACCTTAGGTGATCTATACAACTGCTCTTTTCTACACAGGATGAACATTCAATTGCAAAATTCAGCATAAATGGTCTTTCATCCCTGTTTGAATAAAAACTGATGACTTAAAAGGCATCTCTTAAAGATACTGGTCACAAAGTAGTGGTTTTACAGTCAGCATATGACTGGAGCCAACTGTTCTCACAGGCTCAGAGGAAAAAGAATATCTGAATTTCCTGCTTTTCACTCTGCCTTACTTCTACCTTGTTTCTACTCAAGACCAGCCACATTTTGCAGATATACTATTTCCGAGATCAATTCAAGGAGAGCCACTTTCACTTAAACTCTGTAGTCATGAAACAACTGAAACTGAAGGATTAAGCACTGTACCAGTATAAGCAAACTGTATTTTAACATAACTGAGGAAAATTTGCTGCACATATGATTAATACTTGTAAGATTTCACAAAAAGTGTTTTCTGGATTTTTGTGGCAAAATACGTGAATCGGCAAAACATGCATAATTGCATTTTATTTACGTTTGTTACTGTCAATTGGTATTTGACTCATAATGTTAAATTTAGAAAGCCAGTTCAATAAAGCAATTCTACACTGTTTTATTTAAAATCATCTTCACAATAAAACAGCTTGCTTTGAAAGCATATAACTAGCTCCTTTCCCATTATAATAGCCTCTGTATAAGTATTTCTTCCTTTACAATCATCTTCGGCTACAGTACAATTGCCAACCTACCAAATACATTGAGGTAATTTTCTTTTTCCAGTTGAAATCACTAAATTCAACAGGGGCTGGACGAGTTGTGAAAACTTTTGGCACTCCAGACTAAGAGCAATACTTCAGCTAAAGTGAGGAAGTGGATCTTAGCTATGAATGCCATTGCAAGAGTTAATAAAACAAAACAAGGAAGCCAAGCCAATTTTACAGGGAGCAATACTAAATATTTGGGAAAAAGGCTTAACATGTCAGATAAATCAAAGTAAAAAACTGTAATGCCCACTCCTGAGTGTATTACCTTAAAGTCAGTCCTTTTATATAATACTCGATAGTCTTTACATTGTAAGCAATTACTGCAAAGGATGCAGGTGTCATTAAAAATGAGTTAAAAACACTTTAAAAGGCATTGCATGGAAAGCACCTCATAAAGAACTATTACTTCATTCTGAGCTGTCTCACATCAGATTTACTTGTGCATATGTACACTCAGCATAAAACCAGTTGTAAAACTACTGAGTAACAAACCCTGATGGTATTAATCCACACTTCTACTGCCTTTGAAAGCCAGGAAGAAAATGACCAACTAAAAGCTTTCAAATAAAACAAGAGACTGCAACTTGCATTGATGTTTCAGTGACAAAGTGAATGAAACTATGGCTCTATCAAAGTTAACTACCAAAGCTTCAATGACTTCAAGCAGACCTATGATGTTATTTCCAGAATGGTCATTAGAGATGCTGGTCAGTGAGAAAGAATCAAAGAGAAAAGGAGACCAGAAGTCCCTCTTCTAGACACTCCCCAAACAACTAGTAAACCCAGATACAAAGCAACTTGTGACTATTCACCTGCATCTCTTTCCTCAGATTTGAAAGCTGTAATTTCACTGTGTGCAATTATTTTTCCTTAAGATTGTTATTATAATAAATTAATATACTGAAGTGATGTTTATTAGAAACACAATCTTAATGAAGACATAGAAGTGGGAGCAGAGAACTGCTTATGAGCAACAAAGTTTTAATAATTACTTTCCTCCTCTCTTCAACAATGTAGTGGCAATGAATTAGCCAGCAAGCTCTTCCACTGAATGCTGCATAGCAGTAGCATCTCCCATTGATCTTTATTTGATAAATAGATATGTAGAAAGACCATTTAAATTATGATTCTCTATATTCTGTAGATCAAATATGGGACATTTATGTTACGATTTTCTGCAAATATGATTTGCACCACTCTCATCACTCTTCCAACTCGGCTGCACAATGTCTATTTCACTGCTCCTGCCACAAATCCAGATGGCTGCAGATGTGCAGCTGGCAACACTATGTTGTCTGACCCTGTTTAGGAGTTTACACAATGCAGTGCTTGAATTAAGAGGAAGTCCCAAGTGCCCTAATTAGCACAGCAGCCAATGAGCTGAAACAGAAGCAGCAAGAGTGGGAAATTCTAGCAAAAAAATCCTAGTACAGGAAATGCCTACAAGACAGAGGGGAGATTGTATACTTTGCTGTGAAGACAGTAGAGGATAAAAACAGCTCTTTTAGTCATGCAATGGTATTCTGAAAACTAATTCCAAAATCTTTACACCAAAGTAAGCCCAGCTACTCTTCTTCAAGGTGTGCCTATATCTCCTTCCAGTCATAAAATAGGGCGTAATCATTTACCTTAGCAAGGGTCATCTTGACATAGAAATGGAAATTAATAGTAAGCTTGTTGCTGGCTTTAACAAATAACTTCCAAAAAAACCTCAAGTGGCAAGAGAAGTGTTTTAAGGATTAATGAGTCTATTTAAAAAATTTAGATCTTGTGAAGCTTTGACACTGGCCGTCTTCAAGGCAGCTTATAAGAGCTGGCATTTGGTCTTTGTGAAGAAAAAACGGTGTATTAGACAAAATACATAATTGTTATGCAAATGTATGTACATATATTGGGTTTTTAATCAGCATTGGATGTAATATGATTATTTGAGTAACTTACAGTTACTACTAGAAAAAGAAGTTCAAATTCTCCCGTGTTGAAAGTTACTTTCACACATTTGGTGTTATGATAACCTTTTTAGGCATTCTAGTGTGGTGAACTAATTCTTTCAGGCATTGTTTTTTGTCATTGGCATTCAGGGTTAAACACACTTGTGAACTAAGCCATGGCTCCAAATCAACCATCTAAACATTACTATTTTCTGGCAGTACATTGTGCATACACACATATAAATATATTGAGTAAATATAAAATATAAATATATAAATAATCTCTGCCTTATGATTTCCTTCTACTTCTAATCACACAACAACCACACAACATGCACCAGTGTGGGTCAGAAGCTGATCTGGTGGAAAGCAGCTTTATAGAGAGGACCTTGGAGTCCTGTTAGACAAGTTATCCATAGGGCATCAGTGTGCCCTTGTGGCCAAGAAGGCCAGTGGTATCCTGGGGTGCATTAAGAAGAGTGTGTCCAGCAAGTCGAGGGAGGTTATCCCACTCCTCTAGTCTGCCCTATTGAGACACCATCTGGAGTATTACATCCAATTCTGGGCTCCCTAGCTCAGGAGGGACAGGGATTTACTTGAGAGAGTCTAATGGAAAGCTACAAGGATGACAAAGGGACTAGAACACCTGTCTTTAAGGAAAGGCTGAGAGACCTGAGGCTGTTCAGTCTAGAGAGGAGAAGAGTGAGAGGGGATCTCATTCATGTCTATAAATATCTGAATGGTGAGTGTCAATAAGGAGGGGCTAATCTCTTTTCAGTCATGCCTTGTGATAGGACAAGGGGCAAACTAGAGCATAAGATGTTCCACCTAAACATGAGGAAGAACTTCTTTACTCTAAGTCTTACAAAGCACTTCAACACATAGGGCATCAGTGTGCCCTTGTGGCCAAGAAGGCCAGTGGTATCCTGGGGTGCATTAAGAAGAGTGTGTCCAGCAAGTCGAGGGAGGTTATCCCACTCCTCTAGTCTGCCCTATTGAGACACCATCTGGAGTATTACATCCAATTCTGGGCTCCCTAGCTCAGGAGGGACAGGGATTTACTTGAGAGAGTCTAATGGAAAGCTACAAGGATGACAAAGGGACTAGAACACCTGTCTTTAAGGAAAGGCTGAGAGACCTGAGGCTGTTCAGTCTAGAGAGGAGAAGAGTGAGAGGGGATCTCATTCATGTCTATAAATATCTGAATGGTGAGTGTCAATAAGGAGGGGCTAATCTCTTTTCAGTCATGCCTTGTGATAGGACAAGGGGCAAACTAGAGCATAAGATGTTCCACCTAAACATGAGGAAGAACTTCTTTACTCTAAGTCTTACAAAGCACTTCAACAGGCTGCCCCATGAGGTTGTGGAGTTTCTTCCTCTGGAGTCTTTCAAGATCCATCTGCATGCGTTTCTGAGTGACCTGTCCTAGATTCTGTGGTGGTCCTGCTGTGGCAGGGGGGTTGGACTTGATGATCTCCAGAGGTCCCTTCTAACCCCTAATGTTCTGTGATAAACAAAACCAAAGTGCAATATTAACTCTTTAAATGAATGTGTTTCCATAAAAAGGTTCTATCAGCACCACACTTATTCATAAATGCTGTCCCATCTCAGGAAATCTTGCTATTTCAAGTAACACTGTAGCATGTGATTAAATCCCACCAATACCAAGATAATTAATTAACAATGAGTGCATGCCTAGCTCTTGTATAATTAAGTTCATGCACAAATTTCCTAACACTTTATGGAGAAGCTTAGTTTCCCAATTACCACTTGACAGCTAGGCAGTAAAAGCTGAATGTACAGCCTGCTTGGGTGGCCAGATCCCTTTATCAGGGCAGAGGCTGATGGAGTTCACAACCCAGCTCCATACATTCATTCTGCTAGCTGCAGATGTCCGTGAACTACTTATGTACCCCAAGGTCATTCTGCCTACAAATCTCATCTGCCTTTGCTAAATGCTCTGGAAAGAGTCTGACTGAAGCACTCACGTCAGTCAAGCGTGAGCACTTGGCAAGGAAGGCAAAGAGAACCATTGCAACAGCCAGACTGTCCTCACCATCATTCACACGAGCATGCTTGTGGCCTGCAGTACAATGCAGCACAGGCTCCTCATTCCTCCCTCGGGCCTCATGTCTGTGCAGCTGGAATATAAAAATGACAGAGCCCAGAACCATCCCAACAGGTCCAAGAACACCCATCATAAGACCAGGAGAGGCAGAAACTCAGCAGTGGAGAGGCTTTGGACACCAAGCTCAACCTAAGTATGCTCAAGCTACGATTAAGGATGCACTGAAACTTGGGCACATCCACGTGTTGTTCTGTGCAGAGAGGAGCTTATGCACAGAGCCATGAGCTTCTGCAAATGGGGAGGTCAGACTTCAGACAACAGCCAGGAGCAGTTTGACACTGGAGCCTCCCTTGTCAGCAGAGACATGTTATGGACAGTCTATGCCCTCACTCTGTAAAATCCAAAAAGGTAACAAGTATTGGCTTAAGTATTAATTAAAAGTAGGTCAAGCTTGAACACTTCATGCTCCCCACAGGCTGCTAGTTGCACATGGTTGGTTACTGCAGCACAGCTCACCCATGATTAACAAATCGTTAAGCAGAATTAATTCTGTCATGTCTGAGCCCTCAATTGGGTCACAGAAATCCCTATTACTACCCAAAAGAACTACACTGGGAAGCTGAGTTCCACTTAGTTTTTATAAGATTTAATACAAACAGACTAAAGAAAGTCCTC